CCCTCCCTGCGCCCGGTGCCCCTCAGAGCGCCAATCACAGGCACGGCCCGGCCGCCCGCCCGCGCACCCCGCGAGCTCCTCGGGGCGAGCGCTGAGTCCGGCGTGACCGAGTCACGCGTTTCGCACAGTACCTCAGCCCTGAAACTTTCTGCACTTTCCTGTCACCCCAGGGACAGCCCGCTCCACTCCGCCCCAGCCTTCTCTGGACTGTTCCCAGGTGCTTCAGAATAACATTTCAAAAGCGCAGACCCAGGGGTGCACCCTGAAATCCAGATAGTGAGTTGGGAAGCACACTTTTTTCCGAATACACTAACGGCGCTCGTTGCTTCACTGAACTTTAGTTTCCGTTACGTGCATATGCGCACACAGGCACTTTGCAAAATGTTTCTCTTCGTGTCGGTCTAAGCCCAGAGGTTTTCCTCCAACTTTGGTGTGTATCTTGATCGGCTGGGAATCTTGTTACAATGCAGGTTCCAGTTCGCTAAGTGTGGCAGGCGGCGAGAATTTTGACTTGCCTTTTACTACTGGTTCTGGGGAAAACTGCAAATAATCAGCCATCACAGAGTGACCCTCAAGGAGATTGTTCTTTCCACAGGGCATGGGGCAGATATCAGTGTCTCTGGAGTAAGCTAAAGGCCCGCGTTTGCAGTCCAAGAATGCAGAAGAAGGTAGAGAATACTCTTTAAATTAAAAGAAGTAACAGTGGAAAGAGAACATAAACTAGTGGTGGTGAACCTTTTAGAGCTTTTGATGATACAGACAGCTCGCTGTGGCATGTCCCACAGACTCACCAGCACTAGTGCAGTCGTCCAAATTTCCCTTCCTGCTGGGACAATCGGGTTCACTCAAGGCAATCCTGCTTTACATCATTTTATAGTTTAAATATTAACAGAACTTCTTTTCTCTTTTAGATGTGCTCTGATTGGATAATGAATTACATGATCCAGCTACTTCCAGCTCTGGAAGCTGTAGTTCCTGGGTACACCCTTTGGTCAGATCTTCCAGCTGTTCTACAGTGAATTTATTTACTTGAGGGAAAGATCATTTCTAGGGGCAGGTGCCAGTTCACTGGAATACAGGCAGATTGGCCTTGCTCAAAGCCAGCTCCTTGAAAACTTCGCAGTTGATCTAAGAGTTCATTTGTTTGATCTTGAAACTTTAAACTCTTGATCCAACAAGTACCAAAAACTGCCCCTGATATGTCATACAGAGAAGCGTCACCTTTCACCATCACTGTTGGGAGGCAGAAAGTACCAAAATCAGGAGGACTGGACGTGCCCCTGACCATCAACAACCTTGCCAAAGCTGGAACCACTTTGGTGAGAGAGAAAGATTATCCCACCTATGCCACTATCATGGTTCCCTTCTTTTCTTTTTCTTTTCTTTTTTTTAAAATACGGTCTGGCTATATAATTCAGGCTGGCCTTGAACTCACTTTGTAGTCATGTAGCCCAGGTTGGCCTCAAATTCCCAGCAATCCTCCTGCCTCAGCCCCCTGAATGCTGGGATTACAGGTGAAGTCTCCCAACCAATCACACTCATGTCTTTCTGAACCTTTTCATTTGGTTCCTCAAACTAGAACTGAGCTAAGTTAAAATGTATAGCTGTGCATCCAAATTCTCTGATTCAGATTATTTGATGGCATCCCACTGCTGGTGAGATTAAAAAAAGAAAAAAAAAGTTAGCCATCAAATTCTTGCCCTGGGAGTAGTGGACACACCTGTAATCCCCGCACTAAGGGAGAGAGATGTACAAGGATTTTGAACTCAAACCCAGGCTGGGCAATTTAGTGAGATTCTGTCTCAAGATGAAAAATACAAAAAAGGCTGGCTCAGTGTGAAGGCCCTCAGTTCTGACCCCAGTACTATGGGGAAAAGAAAGAGAGAGCAGAAGGAAGGGAGAAAGGAAACCCTTGCACAGGCCTGCAAGCCCCGCCTTTCCTGTAAGCTTTCCTGTGGCTTCACCTCCTTGCCCGCCACCGAGAGCCTGCCTGCGTTCTTTACCCTATCTTTCTGCTCCTCCTGCTCACAGCCTTCCCTTCTTCTGCCTTTTCCTTCCTTTTTGCCCAGCCAGCACCGGATCTTCCTTGATTGAGTCATATCCTACTGATGGGCAAGCTTCCCTGACCTCCTTGAGTAGATCCATCTTCCTTACAACTCCCATGGCTCCATAAGCATTTCTTTAGTACTTACTACAGCTGCAATTTTGTAATTGTTTGGATCACTCTTTAATTTCTATTTCAATCTCCCACTCAACTCCAAATTTCTTGGAAGCACGCTATATCTTTCCTTCAGTTACTATTATATTTCCATTACCAGATGTGTCATCAGTGCTTAATAAATATTTGTTGACTAAGTAAATGAAGAAATAAATATTAAGTATTTATATGTATTTATCTGTCGTAGCTACTTCACAGCTCTTCAGAAAGCATTCTGGGAATTATGAACTGAAGATATAAACACGTTAGATTTCAGTGGAGGGTGATGTCCCCACGACTTCCCTTTCCTGAGAATGGAGAAGTATGTGGGTTTCTTCTTCTCTCCCCACTAAGTTTGTTCAAGTTCCTCTGGACAGTGTAAACGTACTTTCTTACTTTACAAAACACACTGAGGTAAGTTCCCAATCCATTCCAAAGACTACAGCTATTGAAAAGACCTGCTTTATGTGTTAGAAGCTGGATTTGAGCTACTTGATTCCATCGCAACATGTTTATATTATATACTGCTAATATTATTTTAATTTTGTTTATCTTTAATATTTTTTATTTTATCCTCCCTTGTCTGTGAAGTTGAGGTGAGTCTGAATTCAGCTTTGTCAAGTACAGACTAGTCTTTTAGAAACCATCATAATGAGTTTGGCATAGTGACACACATCTGTAATCTCAGCATTCTAGGAGGCTGAGGCAGGAGGATGGCAAATGCAAGCCCAGCCTAGGCAACTAGCTTAGTGACTTAGTGAGACTCTATCTCCAAACTTTAGAAAGAAAATATTTAAAAGGGATGGGGATATAGCTCAGTGTAAAGGTCCTGTGTTTAATCCTCAGTTTGAAAAAACAAAATGAAATCAGAGTTGTGAACTCATTTGCTGTATTTTGCAATTTGACACAGAATTTTGTCAGTATGGTCTTCCTTGTGGTATTTTTATCAGAGGAATGTCTGATACTCGTAATAAAGACATTGTTTTTACACAATTTCTGTAGATTCCTATAGGCAGTTGAGAAATTCAAGCAGAAATTTGAGCCATGTGTAAATAGAAACAAAATAAAAGCCTAACTCAGAGTTTCAAAATGAGAAAGGCAATTTTTAAGCCCGTACCAAATTAAAAAACAATGAAAATCAACTTGAATCAAAGTTAAACAACTAGACAACTTTCTTTCCCCGGTTTTACAAACTCTGCACATACACACAAACAACTGAACTGAATCACAGTGTGGTTGATTGAAGCCTACATTTCTCAGTTGTGATGAGGGAAGAAAATCATACTCTGCTGCCCTTTCAACAAGCAGCTGTTGAGGTTACTGGCAGCTAAAGCAGTTGACAGGAAGATTCCACTCCTCTGGCTTGATCATTCTGCCTACTCTGTTCTTATCTCTGGACTAATTTTCCCTCTACTGTGAAGCAAACTAGTAAGCAATGAGACAAGGCTGAATTCCGGAGTGTTACCCACTTTTATGTCTCACCCCTGATGCTAGCTTCCCCTCAAAACATTCTGTGATTTCTCCAGCCACAGGGGATCACTGCTCTCCCAGAGAGGACCCACTGAGAGGGTTGAACCAATTTTGAAATGTGTGTTCCACTCTCACATACACTGTGTTTTAGAGGTTTATTTATTTTCTAAATTTTATATTACAAATTGTGAAATCCTCAAAATCACAGAACAGCCTTTGTTCACCTTAGATCATCACTCTGTGCCCTACAGATAGCAAGTGCTCAGCCAGTGTTTCTTATCTCTAATAGTGCTGCAAGTGAGAATCTCTGGCCTCTTCTTCTGTGCCCTTGTGTTGGGTCCTCCACAGAGTCTGCCATTACACCATGTTTTCAGAAAATGGTAATTTCTTTTTGAGAAAAAGCATAATTTTTTGAAATTACAAAAATAATTCTTAACCCATCAACCCAAATTCTTAACCCATTACCCAAAGATAATTTTTGTTAGCATTTCAGAGCGTGTACTTACATGTAATGTTCTAATCTTCCCCTATGCAGCAAGAATTTGAGGATTAGAGAGACAAAGTATTTCGCTAAAGTCACAGTAAGAGCCCGAGCCTGAGTTTAGGCCTGTCTGACTCCAGAGACTGCTTTCTGGAAAAAGCTGATTAAATGGTTGATCCTGACCAAAAAAGAGGTTTGAGAGACGCCACCCCAAAATACACCGTTTGTTATACCTATTATTTCAAGCTGAAGGTAGGAGAACAGTAGATGAAAGAAGGGGACTTTCTGAGCTGCCGTTATGTGCCTACATATAGGTCCTCCAAAACAATCTCAGTTCTCGCCAGGGGCCCCTTGAGAGTTTCATCAACATTAATTCTTATCATGGGAGAACGGACTAGAAGTTGAAACCAGACACACACATTATTCTAAAGGATCAATCGTCTTTTTCCAAATCATTTACTTTCCTCTGGATATCCCACATCTTCTTCCTCCTGCTCCTATGAAAAGGGCACATAAACTCCCAAGTCACTGACCTCTGGATCTTTGAGATTCACTTTTCTGTGGTGCCCTTGATATAGAGGAAAGAAACTCCCAACCTGAAAGGTATCTGGGACAAGTTTGTGTTCTCTAAAATGGAAGAATGAATCTTAGGAACAACGGAAGTTAAGAGCAGAATATATTTACTGAAGGAAAGAAAGCTTCTGTCTGGAAAGAGGGACAGAAGGGGGCCGAGTGGGTTTCCCAGGGAACCTGTCTTTTCCAGGGAATTTTATAAAGCAAAACCATGAGGTGAGGTGGGTCCAAGGTGGGAGGAGGAATGGGAAATCACAAGGTGGGCATGAGATGGGACAAAGCTATGGTCAAACAGTAAGAATTGTTCAGGTAAGGGATCAAATGGGGAAGTGCGTCACGTAGCAAGTGGGCATGAATACAGAACAGGAGCTTTTCCCTTAAGGGGTTGGGTCAGTGACTCAAGAGGATTGCTACCTATTTAGAATATCAATCCCTGATGTCCATCTCTAGGGAGGTATGTGGATGTGTTTGTTTAATCTTTTGTCTTGAGGTCGACCCACAGCAAGTACAGTCTTTCCATTTGCAAGGTATTTTGTCTTCCACACTAGTTCCTTTGAGGGTCTGGCCCTGTCTGACTGCCTATATTTCTATCTAACTCAGCTGTCTATAACACCCTCATGCATATAATACATTTGTGTACATTTCTTCCATTAATCTCCCTGTTGTCAGTTCATTTTATACACTCAGTTATTACATTCTCAGAGGGTAGAGGGAATGTCTTCCCCTCCCTAAGGGGCCCTGGTAATTCTAGTGTTTTTGGGTGATTCTGGAGTGATCAAAGCTGCCCTTCACTGTTGGTACTTTCTTATCTCTTATGCATTAATCAGCTAGTTACAGTCACTCTCCAATTGGAAATTTCTTTTGCTTGGTTCATACCCTGTCCTCACCTCGCACTCCCTACGGGCACTTGACAGTTCATAGCATACCTGACTTCTCTGTCACCTTAAATTCTAGTTTGCTGATGTCTCTCCATTATTTTTCTTCTTTAATTTCTTTTTATTTTTGTACTGGGAATAGAACCCAGAACCTTATGCTTGCCAAGCAAGGCACTATGCTGCTGAGCTATATCCCCAACGCTCTCCTCTTTGCTTTCATGTTGCTACTATATCCCATGTTAAGGATTGTATTGTGTTCCTCCAAAATTCCTGTGTCAAAGCCCTAATCCCCAAGGTGACTATATTTGGAGATTGGGTCTTAGAGATGTAATAAAGGTTAAATGAAGGTGTAAGTGTAAATGCTTAATCCACATGATCTGTGACTTACAAGGTGAAGACAAGGCTTCAGGGGTGAACGGGCCATGTGAAGACACAGGCACAAGGTACAAGGCTGGGGATTTAGCAGTCCTAGCAGGTGAACAGACCCAGTTTCTACCTCCTTGTCCAACTGCTCCTTCACAATCCCATCACAACTCTCTTTTCCTCCACTTATTGATTGAATGCTGGCATATACTAATTTTCTTCTCTGTCTCTTGTCTAACTCCTCCAGGACACAATACTATCTTTAAGGTTTCACTTAAAATATATGATAATTTACAAATCTACATATCAATTTTTGATTTCTAACCAAAGCTGCCATTAATCCAGTGGCCTATGTCTTCACAGATATTATTCTGGCATCACATGCTCATTATTCTAAAATAACCCAAAATGTATATCATTTTTGTACTTTCTTCATGTCAAAAAAGGAATTTATAGCTAGGTGTGGTGGTACATGACTGAAATCCCAGCACTCTGGAAGACTGAGGCAGGAGGATCACAAGTTCTAACTCAGCCTAGGCAATACACTACTGTGCTCAGGACTGTATTGCCTAGGCTGAGTTAGAACAGTGGTGTAACTCATCATACACTACTGGCTAGAGTTTTTATCAAAATTTAAAAAGGTCAGGGGGGGCTGGGGGTTTAGCTCAGCGGCAAAAGCGCCTGCCTGGCAAGCGCAAGGTCGTGAGTTTGGTTCCCGGTACCGGAGAAAAACCAAAAAAAAAAATTAAAAAAAAAAAATAAATAAAAAGGTCAGGGGAATGGAGCATAGACAGAAAGACAGAAACAGAGAGAAAGGAGAAGAAGAAGAGGAGGAAGAGGAGGAGGAGAGAGAGGAGGAAGAGGAGAAGAAGAAGAGGAAAAAGAAGAAGAAGAAGAAGAAGAGGAGGAGGAGGAGGAAAGGAAGAAGGAAGGATATCTATCTCCAACTCATGACCCAAGCCAGAAATGTCAGCCAAAGGTGAATACCTGCTCTCAAGACCCCACCACAGATGGCCTTCTATTTGCTTTCTAAATATCTCTTGCATCTATTCTGTTCTCATCCCCACCACTGATATCACGTTAGTTCCGTCTCTTATTATTTCATAAAGATTACTTCCACTTCCTGTTCTTCTCTACTCTAGTTTCATCCTTTCTGCTACAATCTTCACTGCTATCTTGATGTTTTCCATGCAAAATACAAACATAACAATCACATTTAAAATTCTTTACTGACTTCCTGTTAAATTCAGGATAGATTTTAAACTTACTCTTCATCCATTTATTCCTTATGCAATATTTGATTCTCTGCTATGACTGAAAGACTGCTTTAAATGCTGAAGACATGAATACTCAGAAGATGTAACCCTAACTTTACTTCAAGGGAGTTAGGTTGCTCTATAACCTCACATGAGACATAGATAAGGAAACAAGTAATATTAATCTACATGATGTTACTAATGCCATCATATGCTACGATATGCTAGAGTACCACAGAGCAGGCATGAGGCCACCATCAAAGCCTGAGAGCAGAAGTCCTGAAGAAAAAAAATGTCTCTGAAGCTGTGTCCTGAAGGATGGTCATGGGAAGATGTGTGGACCATAGTACAGATAAAGAGGTAAGGCATACAAAAGCAAGAAGATGCTCGATCCTGAAGAGTTTGAGGAAATACAAAGGTTTTGGAGTCCCCTGAGTATAGATTTGAAGGGACTTTTAGAGGTTTGGAGCTTATTTTGCAAGGGAAAATATAATACAGGACACATACTTTATAAGATTATTTATAATAGTCACTCAAAGATGAAATACAAGAGTACAGGAAATCTGTTCATACATTAAGACCAAGGAATCTAGCTGAGGGCCTGGATCCCATGGAAATGTGCTGCATGAGTCCAGCTGAAGACCTAGAACTCATAACAATGCCTCCCACAAGTTCAAGGGAGGCCTAG